GTTTTTCATTACTTTGAATACTTTATGCCAATCCCTTCTGGCCTGCAGTGTTTCTGCTGAAAAATCAGCTGACAGCCTTATGGGAACTCCCTTGTAGGTAACTGTTTCCCTCGTGCTGCCTTTAAGATTCTCTCTTTGTCTTTAACATTTGTTAATTACGATGTGTCTTGGTGTTGGTCTCTTTGGATTCATCTTGACTAGGACTCTCTGTGCTTCCTGAACTTGTGTGACTTTTTCCTTCACCAGATTAGGCAATTGTTCTGTCATTATTTCTTCAAACAGGTGTTCTATCCCTTGTTCACTTTCTTCTCCTTCTGGTACCCCTATAATGCAGATACTGTAACATTTAATATTGCCCCAAAGTTCCCTTAAATTATCCTCATTTTTTTGTTTGTTTTTTAAATTTTTTTCTTTTTTGTTGCTCTGATTGTTTTTTTCTACATTGTCTTCCAAATTGCTGATTCTATCCCCTGCTTCATTCAACCTACTTAAATTCCTTCCAGTGTATTCTTTTTTTTTCTTTTTTTTAATCCTCACCCGAGGATATTTTTCCACTTTTTGTACAGATAGAGTGGGAGGGAGAGAGAGGAAGGGAGAGAGAGAGAAACATCGACGTGAAGGGACGCATCGAGTGGCTGCCACCCGCACAACCAACCAGGGCCGGGGACAAACTGCAACCAAAGTACGTGCCCTTAGCAGGAACCGAACCTGGGTCTCTCCGGACCGCAGGCCGACGCTCTAACCGCTGAGCCAAACTGGCCAGGGCCCTTCCAGTGTATTCTTGATCTCATATATGGTATTCTTCATTTCTGACTTTCTTATTCATGGTTCTATGTCCTTTCTCATGCTGATATAGTCCTCATTAAGTTCCCTGTGGTTCTCACTAAGTTCCTTGAGCATCCTTATAACCATTACTCTGAACTCAATGTCTGAAAAATTGCTGGCCTCCATTTCATTTAGCTGTTTTTCTGGAGATTCCTTCTTTTATTTCATTTGCGGGTTGTTTCTTTGTCTCCCCATTTTAGCTGTCTCTGTGTATTTGTTTCTATGTATCAGACAGAACTGCTATGACTCCCTGTGTTTGTGAGGTGGCCTTATGTAGTCAATGTCCTGTGTAAACCAGTGATGCAATCTCTTTGATCTCCTGAGATGGACGTTCTAGGAATATCCCTTGTGTGGGTTATTTTGGGCTCTCCTATTGTAAGTGGGTCTTGATTGCTGCTGTTCCATTCCTGAGTCGGATCTCCCCTCAGGCTGCCTCAATGTGAGGCTCAGTCCTGACCAAGTTGTGCAAGCTGTTATGCAGGTGCAGTTTTGAGATGGTTTCTGCTCTTGTTTTTAAAAGCGTCCCCTTGCCTGGCCAGTGTGGCTCAGTGGTTGAGCACTGACCCATGCACCAAGAGGTCGTCAGTTCGATTCCAGGTCAGGACACATGCCCAGGATGTGGGCTAGATCCCCCAGTGGGGGACATGCAAGAGGCGGCCAATTGATGTTCTCTCTCTTCCTCTCTTCTAAAAATCAATAAATAAAATAAATTTTTTTAAGTCTCCCCCTTCAGCTAGTCTTCAGTTGGGAATTCAGGGTGAATGTTCCCCAATTTATTTTTATTTCCAGTTTGGTTCTGGAAAGAGTTGCAAGAAAGATCCACCTACTCTGCCACCATCTTAAAACCTGTAATATAAAATTACAACCACAGCAAGCATCCATTAAAAAACACAAATATTTAACAAAGCCTGTTGAACTATCTAAACCAGTGGTTCTCAACCTTCCTAATGCTGCAACCCTTTAATACAGTTCCTCATGTGGTAACCCCCAACCATAAAATTATTTTTGTTGCTACTTCATAACTGTAATTTTGCTATTGTTATGTCTTAGTCGACCTCTGTGAAAGGGTCATTCAACCCCCAAAGGGGTCACGACCCACAGGTTGAGAACCACTGATAAACAATAACAATACTGGTTTGCTCTCTATTTTAACACCTGCCAACTCACTATACAAGATATATCGCCCCAAAAAATATTTCTTCAAATTCTGTACCAACTAAGCAGCAACAATAATGATAATATTAAATTTTTTTCTTTTTCTTTTTTTATCCTCACCCGAGGACATTTTTGCATTTATCCTTAGATAGAGCGGGAGGGAGAGAGAGAGAGAAACACTGACATGAAAGGGACACATCGAATGGCTGCCTCCCACATGACCCAACCAGGGCTGGGGACAAACTGCAACCGAGGTACATGCCCTTAGCAAGAACTAAACCTGGTAGTCTCTGGTCCGTGGGCCAAAACTCTAACCACTGAGCAAAACCAGCCAGGGATCTTTATTTTTTCTTTATTGATTTTTTTTTTTGAGAGAGAGAAGAAGGGAGAGAGAGACAGAAATATCAATGAGAGAGAACATCGAATGGCCACCTCCTGCATGTCCCCAACTGGAGATTGCGCACACAATTTGGGCATGTGCCCTGACAGGAAATTGAACTGGCGACCTTTGGGTGCATAGGTTGATGCTCAACCACTGAGCCACACCGGCTAGGCTAAAATTGAATTTACATTTCAGTGTGTACATAAGAAGTTTGTTCTCTCATTTAATATCCCCAAAAACTCTGAGAAAGACTTTTACTGTATTCTGATTTGGGCAATTAGGAAATTAAGGACCAAAAAAGTTAAATAAAATTGTCTAGGTTACATAGTAAGATAGGGAACCAAGGTTACTTGTACGGTCAAAAGTCCTCACAAGTTTTACCAGGGTTTTATCACACCATCATTCTTTATTCTTTATTCTTTTTTTTTTAAATCCTCACCTGAGGACATTTTTCCATTTTTTGCTCAGATAGAGTGGGAGGTAAAGAGAGGAAGAGAGAGAGAGAAACATCAACGTAAAAGGGACATATCAAGTGGCTGCCTCCCGCACAACCCAACCAGGGCCGGGGACAAACTACAACCAAGGCACACGCCCTTAGCGGGAACCGAACCCGGGTCTCTCTGGACTGGGCTGAAGCTCCAACCGCTGAGCCAAACCGGCCAGGGCTCATTCTTTATTCTTAAGAGAGATAAGATCAGTGCATTTGTGAGACAAGCTGTGTTGCTTAGATTAAGTGCCAGATTTCAACCTTGTGGCTGCCTGCTCTAGCTTCCTGATAGCTGGCTCTTTCCTTCCACTCTGGTAACTTTTTAAAAATTACACTTTTATTTAAGATATAGTAATAATTAAATTCAGGGAGAAGGATAAAGGGAAAAAGTTACCCATAATCTTACTCATCCTAACACAACGTTTTTTAAATAAAATCTTCTAATATTAGAAGCACAATACATGGATATCAGTTCAAAATCTACCTTCAGCCTTTATTAGCTGTGTGGCCTTTTGCTTAATTGCTTAACTTCCCCCATGCCAATTTTCTCACTTGATCATTCATACAATAAATGTTATTGAGCACTTACTATGCACCAGGCACTGTTCTAGATGCTTTAGGTACCTCAGTGAAATAGAGACAAAGATTCCTGATTTCAGGAGAAACATATCTTCTAGTGGAGAGACAAACAATAAAGTTATATAATACAATAGTTAGTGATAAGTGCTGAAGAAAGAGAGGCAGGTTGCACTTTATATAGTGAGGTCAGACTAGGCCTCAGTAAGGAGGTAACAGTTGAGCCAAGACTTGAAGGTCAGGGAATTCAAATTGCAGATACCTTTTTATTTGTTTATTTTTTATTTTTTAACCTCACCCAAGAACATTTTTTCCATTTTTTGTTCAGACAGAGTGGGAGGGAAAAGGAGGGAGGGAGAGAGAGAAACATTGACGTGAAAGGGACACATCGAGTGGCTGCCACCCGCACGACCCAACCAGGGCCAGGGACAAACTGCAACAGAGGTACGTGCCCTTAGCGGGAACTGAACCTGGGTCTTTCCCGCTGAGCCAAACCGCCCAGGGCAACTTGCAGATACCTTTGAGAATAGTGAAAATCCTAGAGCAAGAGTGTCCTGTGTACAAGGAATACTAAAGAGATCATAGAGTTCACTGAACTGAGAGTACAGTTGGGGACGGGAGACAATGCAGATAACATACTGCACTGTAGGTCACTGTAAGGACTTTGCCCTTTTTTGTTGTTGTTGTTAATCCTCACCTGAGGATATTTTTTCCAGTGATTTTTTTTTAGAGAAAGTGGAAGGGAGAGTGAGGAGAAGGGGGTGCGGAGAGAGAGAAACATTGATGAGAGAGAAACACATAGATTGGTTGCCTCCTACATGGGGAACTGACTGAGGCCTACAACCCAAGAATGGAACCCACGACCCTTCGGTGAGCAGGCCAACACTCTAACCACTAAGCAACACCAGCCAGGGCAAAACTTTGCCTTTTAGTGAATGAAACAAAAAGCCATAGAAAGGTTTTGAGCAGAGGACACAATGATTGCTTCACCTGCTTTTTGCAAATAAACTACACAGACAATAGATATAGAATTATGGTTTTCAAAGAATGTCTGGACTGAAGAAGTAACTGTAAAAAAAAGGAAGGAAGATAATGCCTCATTGAATTATTAGGAAAATTGTTCAAAAATGTTTGTAAGGTACTTAGCACTGTGCCTGACACATAGAAAATGATACTGTTTTAACTTCTGAGACAAGATATAAATTCAGCCATGTACTTAGTAAACAAATACCATCAGCCTGGAGGAAGGGAATTCTCCTAATTCACATGAAGGGGGCAGTCCTACTAACTAAACTATGGACCTTTGGTTATTTGGCAATAGTGCCTTTGGGGCTGGTGTGTCCTTAATCCTTGTCTATATATATGGATAATTGCCTTTGCAATCCAAATCCTGTGCTCCGTTATTCTTCCAATTTAATTTTAAATATTTGATAGCTGTTTGCCTAATCATACTGTTGTGCTAGATGTTATTTATCCTTATTATCACACTTTTTTTTCCCCCCAAATTTTAAAATTTGTGAAATCACCTTATTTGTCCTAACAGAGAACTTGAAATAAACACCTTCAGGAATATAGGCATTGTGCTTAACACCACAGGCTTGGGTTTACTGGGTCAAAAGGTAAGAATTATGTGAGTGTTGATAATGTCATGTTTTTAATATTTTAAAATGGGACTTGGATGAATTTTTGTTTTTAACATAAGCTTATTTTTTTAACTTGTTCTACAAAATGTATTATTATTTAAATCTTTATTGTTGAATGTAGAATGTATTACAGATGTTCCTCATTTTTCCCCCATTGACCCCCTCCTCCCCACTCCCGCACCCCCTCCCGCCTTTTCCCACACTGTTGTCTGTGTACATTGGTTATGCATATGTTCTTTGGTTTATTTCTTCCCACCCCTCAACCCCTTTCCCTTTGAGGTTTGTCAGTCTAGCAACCAATTTGTAATTCTTAATCCCTTCACCTTTTTCACCCATTCCCCGAAACCCCCTCCCATCTGGCAACCAACAAAATGTTCTCTGTATCTATGAGAATGTTTCTGTTCTTCCTGTTCATTTTGTTTGTAGATTCCATTGTCGATAGATATGTATTCATTGTCACTTTGTTTGTTCATATATTTTATCTTTTTCTTCAAAAAGACCCTTCAACATTTCATATAGTAATGGTTTGGTGGTGATGAACTCCTTTAACTTTTTCTTGTCTGGGAAACTCTTTATATGCCCATCGATTCTAAATGACAGCTTTGCAGGATAGAGTAATCTTGGTTGTAGGTTCTTGATTTTCATCACTCTGAATATTTCTTGCCACTCCCTTCTGGCCTGCAAAGTTTCTTTTGAGAAATCAGCTGACAGCCTTATGGGGAACTCCCTTGTAGGTAACGAACTGCTTTTCTCTTGCTGCTTTTAAGATTCTCTGTCTTGAACCTTTTGCATTTTGATGATGATGTGTCTTGGTGTGGGCCTCTTGGGGTCCTTCTTGTTTGGGACTCTCTGTGCTTCCTGGACTTGTGTGTCTGTTTCCTTCACCAAGTTAGGAAAGTTTTCTGCCATTATTGTTTCAAACAGGTTTTCGATTTCTTATTCTCGCTCTTCTCCTTCTGGCACCCCCAAGATGCAAATGTTGGCACGCTTGAAGTTGTCCCAGAGGCTCCTTACACTATCCTTATTTTTTTGGATTCTTTTTTCTTTTTGCTGTTCTGATTGGGCGTTTTTTGCTTCCTTATATTCCAAATCGATGGTTTGCTTCTTGGATTTACTCTACTATTGAATCTGTGTAAATTATTGTTTATTTCAGCTAATGCTTCCTTCAATTCTGACTGTGCATCCATCATTTCTGACTGGTCCTTTTTTATGCTCTTGAGGCCCTAAGTTCACTGAGGTTCTCACTGGGTTCATTGAGCATCCTTATAAGCAGTATTTTGAACTCAGCATCTGTTAGGTTGCTTATCTCCATTTTGCTTAGTCCTTTCCTGGGGGTTTGTTCTGTTCTTTCATTTGGGACCTGTTTCTATGTCTCCTCATTTTGGCTGCCTCCCTGTGTTTGTTTCTGTGTATTACTTAACGAGCGGTATGAGGATAGCTGAGACCAGATGTTGCTCGTTTGAAAGAATTTAGGAAAAACCTGAAGCAGGATCCAAGACAGGACAATCCTACAGTTAAGCAAGTGGCAATAGCTTGGGTGGGCCTGAAAGTTGGGTGGGGCAGGGCGGGGCCTCAGGGAGTCACCAGGGCGGGGCACCCAGTGTGAGCCAGGTTGCTGGAGTCCCAGATATGGCGGCTGCCTGCCACCCCAGGGTGGGGCTCACCAAAGGAACAAAGGCCTCTGACAGCACGTTTGTCCAGGAGAAAGCCCCCTCTCCAGCCCTGGCTCCAGTGCCAAACAGCTCAGTTCTTCCCTGTATGTCTCTGGTGCCCTTCGACTTGCCTCCCCTCCAAGCTTAGAGGGAGAGAGTCCGGTAAGTTCATGTGCGAGCCCTTTAAGGAGCTGCCTGGGGCACCAGCTGCTTCAGCTTCCCTGAGCCTCAGTTCCCCTGGTTTTTCCAGCCAGAAGTTATGGGGACTTCTCTTCCTAGCACTGGAACCCTGAGCAGGGCACCTGGTGTGGGACAGGGACCCCTCAGTCCTCAGGAAGGACCTTCCCAGCTGAGGTGTCCTCCTCATGGGTGTGGGACCAGCCCGTCTGCCGCCGCCCCTCGCACCTCCGCCCCTCCTACCAGTCTGGATGTGGCTGCTACTTTAATTCCTTAGTTGTAAGATTTCCATCCAGCTTGATTTCAGGCGGTTCTGAATGATGGTTGTTCTGTAGTTTAGTTGTAACTCTGATGTGGTTGTGGGAGGACGTGATACCGCGTTTACCTACGCCGCCATCTTGACCAGAAGTCAAGCTTGTTTTCTTAAAGCAAATTGGTTGCTATTTTCTCTGCTCTTTTTTGGGGGGGAAGGGGAAAGGTTTAACCTAAAAAAGGCAGGTTGTGCTGCTACTTCATCTTGGAAGTAACAAAGAATTCTAAGTTTAGAAAGGGCTAAGATACAGATTGATAAAAGCACCTCCAGTGGATGTAACTTTTATAAGAATTTCATATCCAGTCATCTTTCCATTAGCAGATTAAGTGAAATTATTTTGTGTTCTTTATACTCCTCCAAAGAAAAGTATAAGTCAACAGCCTAGGTTCCCAAGAACTCTCTGAAATGCTTCTTTTTAAAAAATATTTATTTCATTATTAATTTTGTTTTTAGCCCTGGCCAGTTTTGTTCAGTGGTTAGAGCGTCGGCCTGCGTTCCAGAGGGACCCAGGTTCGGTTCCTGCTAAGGGCGCGTACCTCGGTTGCAGTTTGTCCCCGGCCCCGGTTGGTTGTACGGGTGGCAGCCACTCGATGTGTCCCTTTCACGTCGATGTTTCTCGCTCTCTCTCTCTTCCTCTCTCTCCCTCCCACTCTATCTGAACAAAAAATGGAAAAATGTCCTTGGGTGAGGATAAATAAATAAATAAATAAATAATTTTGTTTTTACTCCGGGAATCAAACCTATGACCTTTTGGTGTACAGGACAATGCTCCAACCAACTGAGCCACACTGGCCAGGGCCTGAAACACTTCTAAATAAGAATGCCCAATACCTTTTAGTCCTGGAAAAGGTCAAATAGAAGGTCTCTAGACTGGTGTACAGTTTACAGCATAGATTCTATTCTAAAAACTATGCTAACTAGCTGTGGCCGATCTGTCTCAGTGGTTAGAGCATCAGCCTGAGAACCGAAGGATCACAGGATCCATTCCCAGTCAAGGGTATGTAGCCAAGTTTCAGGTTTGATCCCCGCCCCTGACAGGGTTGTATGGGAGGCAGTCAGTCAATGTGCCTCTCTCACCTCTCTCTCTCCCGCTCTCTAAAAATCAATTAAAAATAAAAATATATTTAAAAAAAAAAAAAACTATGCTAAGTAAATGATTAATGCAGAGACCAACAGCCTCTTCCATAGCTGGGCAACCAGGCTCAAAGAAACTGACATAAGTTCCCTTACCTTCAAATGAAGCTGAAAGACAAGCCTAACTCAAACACTCAAAGATTCTAATCAGCTGCTTGACCTTATCCTTTTAAAAATAAGCAGACTGCCCAGGATTACCAGACATTTTAGGAGAGCTTCTAAAATGGATGATAAAAAACAAAGCACAAGAGGAAAAAACCCAACTGAATTACTTGAGCTATCAGATTAACTGGAGTTACCAGAACAGAACCCACTGAATGAATGTCTAGCACATCTAATTTTATAATGGAGGACAAGATTCTATATACTTACAGAGAAAAAATACAAAGGACCAAAAACCAAATTTCTCAACATTGGAAGTTAGCCTGCTAAATTCTGAAGGAAAGTTACCTCTAACTTAGAATAATCAGAAAAACTATCAGTGAAGATAGTACGGTAAATAGTATTTTTTGACATTCATAGTTACAGAAATTTTCCCCTTCAGGATCTCTTTCTCAAGGAATTTGTTACACGAATAAGAATAAATTAAGAAAAAGAAAGACTTGAAATATAAAACTAGGGCATTAACACAGAAAAGAAGGTAATAAAATCTCCTGGAGGCCAAGGGAGGGAAATCCTTGGATAACAAATGTGCATCAGGGTCAAAAATCCCTAATTATGTGATTCTTTCTAGCAGCCTCAACTACCATCAACAATATTCACCTACATAATGGATTTTTCTTTTGGGGGGGAGGGAGATAGAGGGGACAGAGGAAGGGAAAGAAGGGAGGGAGTGGACAGAAAGGAGGGAAGGAAGGAAACAGCTCACATCTAAAGTTTAACATGATCCTACACACACACACACACATAAGATTTGAAGTGGGAGTAGCAAGACCTGTGCTAAGTCTTGAGATACTGTAGGTAGTTGAACAACATGAAAAAAATAGTCTAGTAGTGGCTAGAGGGAAGGGGAATGGGGGCTAGGAGGATGCCGGCAAGGGGTAGGGAGGGAATGGGGACATTTATAAGTGTCAACCACAAAAATAAGGAAAAAAAATAGTCTAACAGCATGGGGTTTCCTAAAGCATGGGCCCATATAGTAATTCATGGTTCACAAAAAGATTTTAGAGGATTTGTGAACAAGACATAAAATAACATTGAATCAATCAAAGATTACAATAAAGAAAATATCTGTCTAGTATCTTTATTACTCTTTAATACTTCCTAATATCCCCTTTAAATAAAGGGGGGGGGGCAGAGTTCAAAGTCCAAACCACCAACAGATCCAGCAAAGTGGAAGTCTTCAGATGGTTAATGAAAAATGAGATGAATAAAGAGGACACTGATGGCCCGCCCAGCCAGTGTGGCTCAATGGATTGAGTGACATCCCATGGACTGAGAGGTCAGGGCACATGCCCAGGTTTTGAACTCAATCCCCAGTGGGGGGAGGGGTTGCAGGAGGCAGCTGATTGATATTTCTCTTTCACATCAATGTTTCTATCTCTCTCTCTCCCTTCCTCTCTCTAAAAATAATCAGTAAAAACTTTTTTTTTTAAAAACAGAGGACACTTATGAAGTTGAAACAAAGGTGTTGATGCAGTACTACTAGACACTGGGTGAACCAATGGGACCCCAACATTATAGGGTCCCAAACAGGCCTG